TATATGGATGTAAAGATAGGCTGCATTATCATGAATTACAATACTTGTGTAGCTATGTCATGAATTGGCTAGAAACCAATGCTTTTCGAGGAGGGTTTGGTTAATGTTGGTAATGCTTAGCTTTGTGCTTTGACTCTGTAAGTACTGGCAGAAATGAGTGGGTGGGTGTGAGAGGTGAGAAGAATCTCCTGTAGGGTGGTGGCATCCTGCACTCGGTCAGTTTCAAAGGAACTTGAAATTACACCTGAGATCTAGCTACTTACTGAAAGGAGCAGTCTTCCTGCTTACCTTGCATTAGGTGTGTGGTTTGTCTGGCTCCAGAAGGCCAATTCAACTTATTAAACTGGTAGAAAATTATTTTTATCTCTTTTCCTGCATGGCTTTTCTACTAACTTAGCAAGAAATTTAAGGAGATTACAGGAAATGCTAGGTTATTTTGTGAACCTCAGTGTTGAGGGAAGAAGGGTGATTGCATAAGAGCATGAAAAGGGAGACTGCCTCTTTCAGTGAGCTGTTCAGTGACTTGGCCATTTTACCTGGACCACTTGGTTTGCAGTTCAGTAATCTCACCAAAGCAGTGATTGCCCCTTGGTGTCTGTATTTGAGAGCTTTGAATTAGCTTTAAATGAACTAGTGCAGGTAACCAGACACAACCACAGTACCTTATAGTCATGTGTAAGTTGATTTTACTCTGTTTTACAGATTAAGTTTTGGGAATGGTGAACAAATTAACCTGCTTAGAAATCTGTGCCTCAGCTAGTCTGCATCTGGTATGAGAAATTAGCTTGTTTAATGGTGAGCTGGGCAGATGTACTGCAGCTGTCAGGGTTATTTGTACTCCTGAGAGTGGCACTGTGGAATGCTTATTGCCGTCAGGTTGCTTGAGTGGTTGGAGTGTATTGGGGAAAACAGATTACATTACTTTTTTTCTGGTGTGTACTAAGCCGTTTCTAAAATACACGTGGCTGCAACTCCATTAGTGAGACCTGTGCTGGTAGTGCTAGGCAGGAGTGAGACTGAGTTCTTTAAACTCTGTAGTGTCTATGTGAATTAAATGTGGGTTAAATTTCTGAAGTGAAGTTTTCCCTGAAGTACAGCGAAGATGAATGGGAACTGGCTCTTTTTTGGGCAGATCCTAGTTCTAGACTATTTTAAAATAAATTACAATTCCATGGATAAGAAGATCCACACACTTTGAAGTCAAAAGAGAGAAAGACAAGTTGCTTCTTTGAAGAAGATGCAAGTCAGTAATTATTTCTTTGCTTTTATTTTTCTTTCATGAGCCAAACTACTTGAAGGAGTATGGTTCTGGCTAATTTCTCAACACTACAACAGGAAGGTGTTTGAGCTTTATTTGTTGTTTTGAGAGGTAGCTTTGGCTTTCTGTGGAGGAAAAACTAGCTGTTGTCGAGAGGCTGAAGTTCTTCCTGGTAAAAATTACTAGGTGTAAGGGTGAAGTATATGTTGTATACATTTGGTGTTTGTTTTTGTAATTCACAAAGGCTTTTCTGATCTTGTTTCACTTCTTTCCCATATTCCTTTAGGGCTGGGATGACACTGCTGAGTTGCTGAGATTTTATCTGGCTTTCAGCATTTAAAGTGTTGAGCTCCAGTTTCTGTTTTCTTTCTGAGAATGTGTTCAGATGAGCTGTCTCATAGTTAGACAACTCATAACACTAACAACTAATAGTGCTTAATTTTAATTCTTTTTTTCCCCCTTCTGTGACTTCAGTTGCATTAAATTACAGGATGGCTTCACAGCCAATCTTATTGCAAACAAACAAACAAGGAAGGTACTTTGGGCTGTTGTAACTGCTAATACCTAATTTAGTGGTACAGGTAGTGTATTGGGTTTTAATCATATTGTTGTTGCTAGGCCATATTATACATCTTTTTCTCTGCTGCCCCAATTGCAAGAGCTCTCTTCTCAGCTGCCTACCAGTTTGTAATTGGTAGAGGTATTTGCATTAAAAAATCAAAAAAAGCAAAGTAACCTTAAGGTATGTGGGGAGTCTTCCTGTTTTGGAGTCTGGGTTAATTCAGGCAGAGTCGGGGTTGGCACACTATGGCCCTGTGTATGTGTGACTTTCTAGTTTCAGGGTCAAACGTGATAGGCTTGGTTTCAGCATGAAGTCTTGTGAGAGAGCCTGCATGAAACAGTTTCTCCATGTTTTGAATAAAGCTTTCTCTAGCAACAAACGCCTGATGTGGGCCCTTACACTTCCCAATAGGTGATGGAGAGATTTTTATTACAAGACAGGACACCTTTCCTTCCTTCTTTTTCCTCGTCTGCCGTACAACTTCCTTGCATGGTGAAGTTCCTACAGGCCTGTGTGGGAGGGGAGGGACAGGACAGAAGCCTCCAGTGAATAATGCAGAGAGCTTGAAGTAGGAGCCCACGTGGCCAAAACCTAAATTCTGTGCTTTTGTCTGAGCTGTGGACCCAACTGCTCTGAACTGTTGGGTCTAAGAAGCGGTATGTAAAATGCCATGGAGGGACTGGATAGCGTTGAGCAGCAGAAATGAAAAAAATAGTTGAGTATAGAAGAGTCTGTGTCTTGCAGGCTCTTGCAGTCGTCTACTACTTTGGCGAGTGTGGTGTTACTCAACAGGAGCGGGATTAGCTAGTGCTAAGTCTGTTACGTAAAGCCTGCCATCTTGTGGCTGTAGTGCTAAAACATACAAACATTAATTTTATTTCTACACGTGTTTTTTTGCAAGCCTTTGTGCACACACTTCTGTTGAGCACGATGTTAATTGCATATGCTTGCATGTAATCTTGGAAAAACATCTTTTAAATTTGAGAATCTCTCCTTTTAAAATTGTGTGCTGATTTTACATTAGTCTCATTTTGCTGAGAAGCATTGTTATTACTTCTTATAAGCAGTACAGTGGTGAAAAAAGTAGTGAATGTATTAGTGCTTTTGATTCTTGTTCTTGAGAATCTTTATACAATTTTCAGTCTCCTCAGTTTAGTGTGAATTCTGATTTTTTTAACTTCTGCAAAGAGAAGAGTGAAAACTGAAGAAGAATGTGCTAGCTGTTGTCTTATTGAGCCTGAATCTGTCCATTCCTCTAAAATGTTCATACTTTGATTATAAATATCTAAAACTTCTATATGCTACTGCCCTTACTAGAGAAATGTGGGTATCCCAGAGAGAAAAAGAATCAACTTCAAGGGGGAAGAACTTGTGTTACACATTTAAACACAGCTGCTTGTGCCATCTAAAGGTCAACAGTCATTTTGATTCCCGAGTATGGTTTTCCTTTCCCCTATTTTTGATAGTAGCCTGTTGTAGCATTATTTGTGAATAAATAATTTAGGCTGAAGAGTGACAGAGTATTGTATAGAGAGGATTTGGGTATCTTTCCTCAGATCCGTGGAACTTTGCCATTATGTATGATTAGGAGGGTGCTGCAAAGCAGATTGCTATACTACAGCTTCTGCTTATGGAGGACTGGCTTATAGATAGTGAGCATCAATTTTCATTCAGAAGTTGGTCTGTTAATTGGAAATGGGCTATTTGCAGCCCAGACAGTGGCTCTGCACGAGTTCCTATGTGGATAGAAGGCAATTAAGATAATTTACTTGTTTCCACCCTATGGAAAGAGCCTTCTGATGGGAGGACTTATTTCTTCCTACCTTCACCAGAATCTTAATAGGACATTTTTACAGTGGCTAGCTAAAGAGAAAACAAGAGGTGCCTTTAATAAACACACAGTTTCCTCTTTCCGTGTATGCCTCTCAGACTTGCTCAACACTCGAGTTTCTGCTATATTTAGATTTCTACACCCCAAGCAAAAGATTAAGCTATTATATCAGTTGAGAAAACAGAACTAAGGAGTTGATTTAAATTAGAGTAAATTAAGCCAAGACAAAATGTTTTTTGTTCGGTGTCTCTCAAGTTTAAGATTCAGATTGCACCTTGTTTTATTAGTCAGCAGTCTGCTTTGGGGGCATTTCTAGACTCTCCAACCACTTTCTCTGATTCATTCCAGCTATGCAAAAAAGGAATCTGATCTTAATGGAGCCCAAGTCAAACTTCGAGAATTTGAAGCAGCCCTCAATTCTAAAGAAGCTGCACTGGCCACAGCCCTTGGTGATAAGAAAAGTCTGGAGGGAGAAGTTGAGGATTTAAAAGACCAAATTGTACAGGTGAGTACAAGAAATATTTAACCATCAAGCTTCTGTCAGCAAATGAAGTGTTTTTATGTATAATATATCTATAGCAAGAGCTGTCATTCTGGTAAAATGCAACTTTGTAGCCAAAAAATGGATGCAAACCTGTCATCTAGTCACAACTAGAACAAACTGTGGTTCACTGCCAACGTTGGAAGCAGTATTGAGTAGGTGTCTGTGTCCAGTACTGTTCAGTTTATTATTAACATGAATGCTTTTAAAATTGCAGTCTCTGAAATTGCAAGGGATGGTACTTATGTTGAAGAAAGCAGGTCAAGAGTCAAAATGAACTTGACAAATTGTAGTACTGTTTCAGGGGAGAGACTGACTTTACAAATACAGATAACGAATAACTGACAAGTAACCATTTGTGATTCTCTCTGCCCTCCTTTTGGTTCTGCCTGTGGTTCTCCATCTCCTGGGCATCTGGTAGAAGAAAGAGGAAAAAAGTCTTGTGCTAGTTTTGTTAACCCTTTGAAACACATGATTTGTGGTCTTAAGCAACACCACCTCAAGAGGATGAGTTGAGGAGACCAGGAAACTGATATCTGCCGTGTAGAAAAACAGAAGTTTTGTAAGGAAAATTGATAAGTAGCATTTTAATGCTAGTTACCAATGTGACATATATAGAACTCACTTGTGCAAGCAATTGCAAAAGGCGGGGGGGAAAGACATTAGTGGTGTAAATACTGGATTTGATTATCAAGTTCAACCAGAACATGTAGTTAGCTTCTAGGTAGCTGAGGGCATTGTGTTGTGTGGGTTCTGCTACATAATCATTGTTGCGTTGATTCTTTTATTTCTTTTTCTTAAAGCTTGAAGTTTCTTTAGCTGCTGCCAAGGAACAGCTTGCAAATGAAACCTTACTGAAGGTGGATCTCGAAAACCGTTGTCAGAGTCTCATTGAGGACTTGGAATTCCGTAAAAATATGTATGAGGAGGTAAATGCTTCAGTCTCAAGAATTCACATTTTTAAAGGGAAGAAGACAACTGGGGGGTCATTCTAGAATACTAAAATAGTTTAGGTTGGGAGGGACCTCAGGAAGCCATCTGGTCTGAACTCCCACCCAGAGCAGGGTTTACCTCTATTCTACTTGGAAGATTTCCAACTTTTTTTTTCCTAGGAAAAATGATGTTAACTCAGAGCTCTTGTGATAAAACAGCTTCATGTATCATGTTGTTTCGTGTTAAATTCTGCCCATGGTATTGCAATGTACACGTCTTTTCATAGTGACAGGAAAGTAGGTTAATAATTTCTCGCATAATTCCTTTATGAGAAACAGAGTGGAGAGGGACACTCAAACAGATGCTATGGACTTGTACTGTTTTTTAATTTCAGAACTTCCTAATAGGATGCTTTTGAATAATGGAAACAGAGGTTGATGAATATTTGTCTTTTAGAGCTTTTGCTTGCCACCCTCCCTTTCACTTGTAGCACTTGAGGCTTTCCAGGAGGAACCCTAGAGCAGTAACAAATATACCTAACCATACTGTCTTTTGTTCCGTGTGCATATTTCCTTGCTAGTTGTATTTTCAGCCTTGTTCATGTTGTTGGAACCCTTTTTTCCAGAGACCATGGGCAAACATACAAATAAATGGGGAAAATGCTGGTTAGTGAAAGTCACTGTTAAATTTCACAGTACTTTTGTTTTGTGTAAGCTTAGAAGATACCTAAAGAAAGGGGGGATATATTTCTAAAATCTAATCATATTGAGGTATATTTGTTGAAAATGCAGACAGCTTTCAGAAGGAAATGTGACTTTACATGCTGATGGTATCCTAGCTCTTATTTCAGTGACTGGCTATTGCAAAATAAGGTACTATGCAGATCACACTGGGGAGATGGCCATGTGTTTCTACTGGAAGTTTCAATGTCAAACAAACTAATCTAATGCTGATCCATAAAGCTAACTAAAATCTGCATCGCTACCTGCTCAGCAGATAGTCTTCTAAAACTTGTTTTGTCTCATATTTACTGAATGTTATTTTATTTTTCTGTTTTTCTTAGGAAATCAATGAAACAAGAAGGAAACATGAAACTCGCTTAGTTGAGGTTGATTCTGGGCGTCAAATTGAATATGAACATAAACTTGCCCAAGCCCTTTGTGAAATAAGAGAGCAGCATGATGCACAAGTGAAGCTGTACAAAGAAGAGCTTGAACAGACTTACCATGCCAAAGTGAGAACATCTTTTCATATAGTTGTCTGATGTACTTTATTTTTTGGTTTGTTTAATGGAAAGATACCCTAATTACTTGCATTTCAGAGGATTTTATTATGGAGCTTGGTCTAAAATTGCCATGCTTTTAAGCTTTTGGGAGCAGGTTTAATCCTCAGGAAGTACAATAATACAAGAGTAGGAAGCACCGTGTGAAGGTGAACTATGGGGAAAAAGTGATTAGTACTGAGATTACTATGAATTCAAGGAAAATGTTATTACTTATCAACTGTAACATAGTCTTGATGGTCAATAAGGTGTCCCATATTTTATATAAAAATTATTTCATCATCGGGCTTGCTGAGAAGACAGCATCCTGAGTCCTCTGACCCTGTACAAAACATGTGGAAGTGTTACCACACCCAACGATTTCTGCTTTTCACTCTTCTAGAGAGGAAGCATACTCAAGCTGAAATAAGTTATACTTCATAATTTCCTTCCTCTACTATGATTCAGCATTTCTGTCCGGGAGGGATCCTGATGTCTCAACTGAACCTGGTTTCTGTGGGTATACTTGTTGCAGTTAGTATTTTTAAAAACAAGGTGGAGTGTTACAGCAGAAAAGTTGATACAAACTTAATTTATTAGCATAGTTTTCAGTCTTTACTGTCTTAACCATGTGCAGTTGCTTATCTTCAGGGCTTCAATCTGACTTCAAAAAACTTATTTTAAATAAGATCTAGCCAAAAATACATATTTTTATATTTTTTGTCTAAAAATCCTTTCATAATTGAGGCTTTCTTGTTCACTCTCTTCAGGTACACTGTTTCTGTATTTTTTGACTCTTATTTTAAAGAAGTTTTTTTAAATTCCATTTCATCTGCAACTACAAGTTCAATAATAAGTCTGTGGTGCTGCTCAAGTGGATGTGGTAGTGTTCAGCAGGAATGATGTAGCCAGTTTAAAAAAATAAAATTATTTGAGCTTGAATTTATGATAGAATGAAGCAGTAGTGACTCGTGGCACTGGTACTGTAATCTGAAGGCACATTACCAATTTGCATATGTTGGCTGAAAATTAATGTAAGTTTGCTTATTTTTAGAGAATTGGTAATTTCAGTTTAGCTTCTTCTATTTAAGCATACTCAAAACCAGTGCTACAGTAACTAAATATATAAAGCTAAATATTGTCCAGCATGAAAACTGAACTTAGCACTTGAACTTCAGTAATGTCTACAAGAGAAACTTTTAAGTTTTTAATCCTAGAATAAATATTTAGAGGATTGTTCCAGCGTGGTAATTGAACCACTGTATTTAACCCCTAAAGAAAGTTTAATTGTGTTAGAGCTGCAGAGAGGAACTTTGCGTCTTAGTGTTGTGTGTGGTTTTTAGTGACACATTTTTCTTTTATTAGAAGTTACTTTGAAACTGATGTCTTAACTTGATCTACTGCAGCTTGAGAATGCTAGACTGTCCTCTGAGATGAGCAATTCTGCAGCCAACTCAGTAAGAGAAGAACTGAATGAAAGTCGTATACGAATTGATAATCTGTCTTCTCATCTCGCCAGCCTTCAGAAAGAGGTAACAAGCTGTTTGTGACTCTTCAGTCTTGCTAATTACAGTTGTTGATTGTTATATTAAAGGACTTTCTTTCCCTTAACTTGTAAGTATGTTCAGCATCATGAATTTGTCCTCTGTTCTCCTGTTCTGTATCTTTTCAAATTTCTTAATGTCTCATTTTGACAAAGTTGAATTTTTTGTGCGGTATCCTGCTACAGAGTGAGTATTTGAAAGGTGATACTGTTAACTGGCTTTTGTGGAAACTTTTGTGGATAGATGGGACAGTTTTAGACAAGAGTTCTGTATTAAAAGTCCTTGACATTCTAAGCAATTTAATTCTGTTCTGTAGTAATTGGACAGCCTAGCATAGGATTCCACAAAGCAACATTCAAAGCCAGAGCTGGAACATGCGGTCTCTGTTTGTTGTCTCTTTTCATCCTAGATCCAGTTTTTATCTAGAACTCTTAAAAAAAAATTTAAAAAAAAAATTAAAAAAATAACTTTTTTCTTACTAGGATTAAGATGAAATATGAGACTGAGAAAATACATCAAATAACTGTATTTGAGCATTTTTGCAGCAGGGTCTTGAGCAGAAACTAATTATACTTAGATCACAGAGCACACAGATCACACCCGAAGAAGTATGACACAACCTATGACAAGCCATGTGTTCAGTACTAGCTTATTCGATGGGAGTAATGTCATGTGCACTGCAGTGGAAAATCTAGAGTGAAAATGAGAAATGTTAGGAGTTGGTTCTGAAGTGGGCTTTTGTAACTTACTAATCAGTTGAAAATGCAACAAAAGATTTAAATATAAAATATTAGTAATATTTGGCTTTGATCCTTTCTGCAATACATTTTGAATTGTGTTCCTCCTGTACAGTAGACCCTTGCAGGACTTCAAAATTCTATGTATTTCACGTGAAGAATATAAATGCAGGGGACATTATTTCATAATTTTCAAAATAACTTGGCAGATATACTAGTATGAGTCTTCCCAGTTTTCCTGTTATATATATAAGTTAGTCTCTGAAAAAGATCAGGTGATGTAATGAACGTGCATGAGGTTACACAAGAATCGGATTAAGAGTTTTGTCTACTTAGATCTTATTTCTGCCTTTAGCTTACGATCATCTTTCTTTTGGTGTTTCAGTCAACAGGTGTTTCTGAGGGGTTTTTTCCTTCTTACTTTAGTTAATTACCTGTGTTCTGTTGCTTGCTTGGGAGTGACAGCTAGGTTCAGAGAATTTGCTTCTGAATTTGCAGAGGTATTGGTTGTTAACTTCAGGGTTACCAAAATCAACTTCTGCCAGTTTGACTGTAATTGTCCACCAAAAAAAAAAAGTTTTGCTGCTGTAGGTTTTTTTTTTTTTGGTAGTGCTGGTGATGTCAACCACTAGAGTTTTGTTCTCCATTTGCTAGCACTAACTTTAGCTTTCTTCTCTTTGAAGAAGGCAACTGTCTTATCACTGATGCTTGTCTGGTTTGAGTTACCAAACCAACACTGAGCTCTCTAGTAGTTTCCACTAGGATCTTCCATGTGACACTCAACTCCTTTTATTAAAATCCTTATCTGACTGTTAACACTGACAACCAGTTACACTGGTCCTCTGCGTCAGCCTTATAGACTGCCTGTTTTCATTGTCTCTGGACTATGATGACTTCCTAAGTAGAGTGCCTGCATAGCAAACTTGGTGACTTAACCAGACAAGGTGATTGTGGTGCATTGGTTCCTGTGTCTGTCCTTTAATTAAAAAAATCTCAAGAGACTATCAAACAGAAGAAAGCATGCTCAGGGAAAGTAAACCTTAAAGCTGTCATCATTTGGCTTTTCTCTGATAAGCATTTCGTTCTTTATGTGCAATATTAAGTTCTACTGGCTTGATGTGATTTTTAAAGTATGTGACAAATTTAGCTTTCTTCGTGGAGCACTTACCACTGTACTTTCAGCAAGCCTTGAAGGCTTTGATAAGAGGCAGACAGGGTTTCACTGACAACAACCCCTATTCCTTCAGAGGAACTTCCTCCCAGAACTCAGAATTGGCAGCAGTAAACTGAAGCACAAAGTAGACAACTGAAAGCTGAAGAGCAGCTACTTACTGCAGGATCTGAAGTACGCTGAGCTGCACTTTGATTCTGTGTTCTATCCAGCACATCTTAAATGGTTTGACTCTTAAGCTCAATTTTTCTCAACTGAGTAAATTCAGGTATAGTAACATATCTTCAGATCTCAGAAAAAGGGAGCAGGTAGTTGTCTTTCAAAGTATGTTGTAAGTTTCATTGGAACTTAAGGTGTTGTGTTTGTAATAGATGAGGTGGAGAACAGGAAGTTGAATATGGGTGAGTTTGAATTCAGAAAGCGGGGACGATGCTTAACCTAATGTTTTGAATTCCATGTCGCCTGAATAGCAGAGTGCATGGAGGTTTGGGTGAGCTTTCCTTTGCACCACTGATGTTTTCAATGCTTTCTAGTCTAGAGCATGGCAAGACAGAGTGCAAGAGCTTGAGGACAACTTGACCAAGGAACGGGAAAACTGTTGCAAAATACTGTTCGAGAAAGAGAAGGAAATGGCAGAGATAAGAAATCAGATGCAGGAGCAGCTGAATGACTACGAACAACTTCTGGATGTTAAACTGGCACTTGATATGGAAATCAATGCATACCGGAAATTGCTGGAGGGTGAAGAGGAGAGGTATGAAAGAATGTAGCAACAAATGCTGGTATCTGTGTGCTTCCCTTACTTGCCTCATTCTCTGTTAAAAAAGCAGTTCTTACTGGGAATGCATTCATTAGGTGCTTTACTACAGTTTCCAAGGCACTGTTTGTTTTTGCCCCTTCCTGTCTGACACACTTCTAAGTCTCCATGAGGCCAAGCTGCTTGAGTATCAGACCAATAGCTCTCAAGGGAACAAATACCATTCTTCTATTAAGATTCAGCACTGAGAATGTAGTGAATTGTCATTTGTAGGCCTGTTTGGTGCCATGGCTAATATTCTTTTTCAGAGTTAATTACAGGGCTATTTAGTTGTTAGCCAATTTTCTTTAAGTATAGAATAATTTAAAGTAATAGCTGTTATGATTGCCCAGCTTATCAGCTAGCTGCATTTTCCACATCTGACCCCAGAGTTCAGCAATACTGAGAACTTTCTCCTGATTAAGTCACAGCTGTCATTTAAAATAGTTTGATACTTCACTGTTTTCTGAATGACATCCTACCAGTCCAGGCTGATTCCTCTCAAGTGTGGGGATGAAACAGCAAAAGCTCTTGCACTGTTGGGTTTTTGCATAAATTTCCTACAATGACTTAAGTCCCCCTAAGAGTTTTTTCTTTACTCATTTCATCTACCCAGGAATGCAGTCTTTGGCAAATGCATAGAAATGCCTTTATGATCTTAATGTAGTAGTCCATCAGTATCCTATGCTCCAAAAGCATTAATCAGCTGTTTGGCAACATTTTATTCAATTCTTCAAAAAGTACCTAAGGCTTCACTTTTTCATGTTACATGCTTTGTTTACTATATTCCTGTACCTTTTTGCTGTATAATTCTATGGGAAGAAGTGGAGAGAGGAAGAAACTTTATTTTAAAAAAAAAAAGTGGCAAAAGTAAAACCAAAGTGTGATGTATGCATATTTCTACCTTTCTTCAATATAGGTTGAAACTTTCTCCAAGCCCATCTTCCCGAGTCACAGTTTCACGGGCTTCATCAAGCCGTAGTGTGCGTACAACCAGAGGGAAGAGGAAGAGGATTGATGTGGAGGAATCTGAAGCCAGCAGTAGTGTTAGCATTTCCCACTCAGCTTCTGCCACTGGAAATGTGTCTATTGAGGAGATAGATGTTGATGGAAAATTCATCCGCTTGAAGAACACCTCTGAACAGGTTTGAAAATGCACACATATCACGACTCTACAATGGGCTGATTTAGAGGTAGAAGGCACCCCCTCAGGCTTCATGTTGACCCTGGAGCTAAAGCACACTGTGTAGGAGATGGCGCTAAAACTAATGTGTCACAAAATAAGCTTTCATACAGTATTCTGGATTGATGATGACTTCTTCCTAATGATTTTTAAATGCTTTTCATAGCAATTGTTTTACTGCTACGTTGCCCACCGACCAAAGTGTTAGATCATTCTTCAGAGTTCTGCCTTCCAAGTGATCTGCCTGTAAAGCTTTACAGAAAACATTGTCACCGATAGGAAGTAGTGCAAACAGACATCAGGCTACTTTAGAAGCCTTTTAAGAACTTTCTCTGCCTTAAAAAGCCCCAAAAGAAATACATACTTAGGCAAAATAAATGTCTAAATGTAATTAATTGCCTGTGTCCCTTGTACTTGCATATAGCTTCTGTAAATCGTAGTTTTCCTTCTTCCTTGGCTGCCTCCACAGTTTAGGAGCCCTCAGTTCCCATGCCAAAGCCACCTTTACAATGGCTACTCAGATTATTTCATTCTGTGAATAGGTTGGAGTTTGTATTGGGGGAACACACATAACCATTTATGAAAGGGTACTTCATTTGACTAATAATCAAAACTTTTCCTTATGTTGCCCTCAGAATGATGCTAACCGTTATATTCAGTACATTTTCCCTCTCTCCTGCCCCGACATCACTTGTAACTTCTGCTTAAGAAAAAAATGTCCTATGCTATATGCAGTTCTGCAAGTCATCACAGGAGGGGTTGGAGACTGGGGACTATAACTTCTTAAATCCTTCTCTCGAAGAAGAGAGAATTGAGCGTTGTCTCATTAAGACACCAAATTACGAGACCTAAATTCCTGCAGCCTTGATTTCAGAGAAGGCCTAAGTAATTCTTGCCTTCTCCTGTGCTGTCTGTGCCTCAGCTGTGTGTAGAAGTGTTAGCTGCATTCTTTGTTTTCAGTGACACAGAGGCTTTGTCTGATGTAATCAGATCCTTTACCATCACTAAAGGGCAGCTCAACTTGATGTTTTAGATGACAAAGATTGGTCTGGTTCCAAGTGTCTCAGTCCCCTCTAATCAATGAAGAGACGGACAGACTCCTCCAGATGGTGATACCTATGTGTTTTGTAATTATGTTACATAATTAATTACGTACTTAATTACCTGTATAATACAGGTAATATGTAATTACCTGCCTGGGGTGTTGGCTGAGAGTGTCAACTTCATTTGCTGAATGGAAGAAACCTTGACAACTGTCTTGGTCTAGACAGCTAAGCATTTAGATGACTGAATTCAGACAAATCAAGGACTACTTCTAGTGAGTCAGGACCTGCCTTTTTTTTCCTTTTTGAGTTTTTCAAGCTTATGGGATTCCCACACACACACACACACTTTGTGTACCACATGGGTTTCCCCCCCTTTTATTTAACTACACATTCATTGTTCCATGGAAGGGCCATAAGTTCTGTTACCAGTAGCCATGGATGGTTCATGGTTATAGCACTTTGCCAGGGGTCTAGGTTTGAGCAACTGTCTAGTGCAGTGTAATAAGCTGTACTTGGGGAATTTTCACAACTGTTTGACAGGTTTTTTTATATACATACATATATATATTTAAAAAAAAAAAAAACAGATAGAAAATATATAAAATTCTCTTTAAGTATGGTATGTTTTGTTGCAGTGACCAACTGAATGTCAGCATCTATTAAGATAAATAAGATTGTTCATTTTAGATGATCTTAACTGTCTGTTTTCAGATTCCAGGGGCAACTGTTTAATGTTTGGAAACTCCCTGTTGGTGGGAGAATTTAAAAAAAGATCTACTCTTGTTTTGAAATAGTCATTCTGTAATGATGCCTTGAATATATTTTTCTATTAGATTTGGTAGTTTCAAGGGGTTGATAAGCAAAAAATAATTGAAAGGAAAAAATAATGTAGGTCTTGCAAAGGAATATGTAGTGGGAGGTGTGCATATGGAGAAACACATTTTAAGAAGACTGACAGGAATATTTTGTTTTCTAAGAAGCCTGCTTGTCATTCTGTGCTTAAAAAAATGTATTATATATTTGTAAGGGAATTTTAATATTTATTTATGTATTTTTCTGGACCAAGCTATAAAAAAAACTGACGCAAATTATAAACATTAGTTAATATAACATCAGAACTGAAAAGCAGGCTGTATTAAGCTTTGACTTGAAATAAGAGGTAAGAAATTTAACTAAAATTATTCTAATTGCATGCTGAAGATCAAGTGATAATAAACATTTTTACTGAAAATTTTATGTGCCTCATGGCCTTATATGTAAAATACCTTACACATGTAACAGAAAATGACTGCTGATGGAAATTTTTTTTTTCTCCTTTTTATTAGGATCAACCTATGGGAGGTTGGGAGATGATCCGAAAAATAGGAGACACTTCTGCTAGTTACAGATATACCTCAAGATACATACTAAAGGCAGGCCAAACTGTTACAGTAAGTTGTCAAGCTTCAGCTGTTCAGTTGAAATGGGCTTTAGGCCAATTTGTTTGTGTCAGTTAAGATGCAAGGTTTTTAGTTTTGTCCTTTCTATGTACATATTCAGAAAATAATCACCTATATTTGTATTGGGCATTAGTTGTATCAATTGCTGGGAAAAAGTTGGACAGAACCACATTTTTCAGAAACTTAATTTCTATATGGGGCAATTATTTTGATCATAAACGGGTGCATTTACATATTCAAAAGTCTGCATTAAAAAATGTAGGGCTGTTTTTATTGTAAGAAACTTTGGAACTAGGTAGGCAGACACTTGTATTTTCTTAACTGGAGAAGATTCACCAGTGTCACTTAAATGGAATACATTAACTCAATAAATAACATGGAAATGTATAAGACTAGCAAATAATGCTCACATGTGACTTCTTTTAACAGATCTGGGCTGCAAATGCTGGAGTAACTGCTAGCCCTCCCACTGACCTCATCTGGAAGAACCAGAATTCTTGGGGCACTGGTGAAGATGTGAAAGTTGTACTGAAAAATTCTCAGGGAGAGGTAATGTACCTCAGATATGTTTAAACTTGTCTTTCTGTGGTGCCATCCCCTATTAAGAAGCAGGTAGAACAACTGTTAGGACTTTACACATGAATGCATGTTGAGTGTGTAGTAAAGTTTTCTCCTTTTGCTTTCCAACCAAGCATACTGTACCCCCTGTCTGTCTTAACTGCAATTTAGGAATGCAATCTATTGAAGCGTGTGAAATTTTTTCCCTATATTGAGTATAAGTAGTAGAAGAATGACTTGTTCAGACACTGCCCTCGTGCCAGGAATTGGGCAGTACCTTAGAATATGCTTTGAAAAGAAAAAGTTTTAGTAAACTCTTCAGTGATTTGTGTTTTAAGTTAGTTTTCCTTAAAACTGTGTGGTTTTGGGGGTGGGGAATGTTACAGTGAAACTCACTTTAAGCAATGAGGCATTAATTCTGGTAAGATGGGAGTTAAAACTTTGGGTAGGACACTTGCTATGATATCTTGCAATTGAAAGAAAATATTTAAATGTGTAAAAACAAATTTTGGAAGAACTTGATGAATGTCTTGTTAGAAAGACTCTTTTTAATCATTAAGACATTTAAAACTAAGGTGTTATGAATGCTGTTCATACACAGCAGTACATGAAAAGTATATAGACAAAATCAGTACAAGTAGCTTTCCCAACAGCTGGAACTCCCATTTCTCAAAATCCGAGTAGATTAGCACCAGATCTTTAGAGGAGTCAAGTCTTAAATAAAATTCTGTTGCAGGAGGTTGCTCAGAGAAGCACTGTCTTTAAAACAACTATATGTGAAGGGGAAGAGGAGGAAGTTGAGGAAGAAGCAGCTGAAGCTGTGGATGAAGAAGACCTTTACCATCAGCAGGTATCTTGTTTTACGTTAACAGGGTTACTTAGGTTGAAAAGCCAGATATGTGTCATGAATTTTTGGAAAAATATCATACCTGTTTAGGTGTTATTTTACTTTTGCTTTGTTTAATCAGTAATTTAATGAAAACATGAAGCTGTGTTATTGAAACTAGTATGAAAAAATATTTCTTCATGTATTTTCTTGATGGAGAAAAGTAGATTTTTCTTAAAACAAGGTTTTAAAGCTTAAAGATTTGGGGATTTTTTTTTTCTTAGACTCTGTTCCTGGTAAGATTTTCCCCAGGCCAATTGTTATGATAAAGTTTGGCTTAAGCAGGTACACGTAAATTTACCTAAAGTTTTGAGAACTCTCTGATAGAGGAAATGAGACATTTGAAGACGCTATCAGAGAAAATCTCTCTTGCATGCTGAAGAAATGCAACTCTGAAGGCAGTGGAAAGGTGTGAACTTGCAGTGACAATATAAAATGTTTTGAAATATAAGGGAAAACACTGACATATAACATACTTGATTGTTCATATTCTGAGTTTTATCCATTACCTTACTGTTTTGACCAGTTCTTCTTAAAAAAAAAAAAAGGGGGGGGGAAATATAACAAACATAAGTTCCTGTAATGCAACGTTCAAGTTTGCTACTTTGCCTAAAACTTTGCTATGTTTCAGTTAGTATATATCTGAAAGTCAGTTAGAAAAGATAATATAGTACAGTAATTAAGTGTGCATACATAAACAGACAAAAAATGGCCAAAAAATTGGCTTTTTTTAGCAACCATGGTTTTGGCCTATAACTGAATCATAACTTTGTGGCATTTACTATAGAGTCAGGTTGTTATTGCAGTTACGCAAAAGTACTGAAGTGCATCCAGCTGCTCTTGTGGTTTCTGGGATTGTGTAGTTCAGCTAAAGTGTGTGTCTTAGTAGCTTTACTTACAAAAGTGTTCTAGAAAGTATAGATTTCTTTAGATAAAAACTCTCAAGGTACTTGCATATGCTCCCTGCAGTATTCGCCACCTGTCTAAACTCAATGCTTTTTGACTTGAGATTCAAATACGATAATTACTTCAGTTGTGTTTTTCTGGTACCTGTCCTCCATTACTTCTCATAAGAAAGGCTATCTAGCATTCTTTTACTTACAGGGGATAACAGGTTGTACAGCTTTGCATGCTGACTCTTGCTTAGACCATGCTAGGCTAATAATTTCGTATGTTAAAAATGTACAATATATTGAGTTGCTAAATCTTCTACTGCTGGATTTTTTTTCAAAGATGACTCTTTCTATTCATAACAGGCAGGCCCAAGGACATCTAACAGAAGCTGTGTGATCATGTAAACTTCCAGTCAGCCGGGTTCTTCAAGTCATGGTAATCCTTGCCTACAGAAGAGAGCCTTCTCAGAAGCACAACGTATTTTTGTACTTTCTGTATGTGAATTTTTATGCTGCGAGTCTGATGGCCTTAATTTCCTTTGCCAATGAAAAGGAAGTTTTGTAAAAGAAGTATCTGTAATTTTCTCGCAGGATGTGAATTGTTGACTCTGAAAAATGTACTGTTTGAAAAATGATGTCCCTGTCTCCCAGATTTATATGCCAGTCTTTTTTTTTTTTTTTAATTGAAACTTTGCTGGAATAGAAATATTCCACTGTTTTGGGGATCAATTTTCTTAGATTATACCACTCTAGACTAGTTAGTTGCTGTTGACCTCTTTATATTTAGGTGCTGTTGGGGAAGGGGAAGACATTTTCGATACTATGAACTCTTTTATACTGAGACTTTTTTTTCCTACAGCGCAATCAAGGCTATAAAACTTTTTTTAATAGAAAACAGCTTTGTTAAAAAAAAAAACAAAAACACAAAAAAATCCAAGGAAACCAAATGAAAACAGGAGGAAAAAAAAAACAAACATAATGCAGCTGATCATGTGAGCACTCAGAGGATGAAGGATGCAGTAAAAATCCTTATTGGTACTCTTTTCCTTTATTTAGATTTCTTATTCTGGAAGAGGATTCATGTTTAAACGTGTTAGTTGTGTTGTTAAGATAGTGTAACCAGCTTAAATTTTCTTACATGATTTTTTAACTAATAGGAGGCTGTTTTAATATGGATTGTCTTGCTTGTTTACAATTTGTAGGAACAAAACCAAGTCTTTTAGGGGTCTAGTCTACATTTGTATGGAAAACAATTGTAACTTTGTCAATGTTGAAAGTTTTTCTGTCCTTTCTGCATTAATCTAATGTCTGAAAAAGCTTTGAATAAAATATCTCTGTTTAAGATGTTATCAAGTAAAGCTTTTGGAATTTTTTTTTTCCTAGAACTGAGCTAAAAGTTGAATGAGTGTTGAATACTTGGAACTGATAGGCTTTGAAGCTGGCAAAACATCCACGTAAATGGAACAGTGGCAATTGACTTGTAAAGTTTTCTTCTAAATAATGGGTAACATAACTTCATGTCTAGAAAATTAATTCTTTAGAGCTTTATTAAAACTCTGTTGCATAACTGTTTCTGCATCGTCTTTGCTCATATGTTAATTCTTACTGGACTGGCTTTTACTACATCATACAAGTACCAGGCTGAGCAGTTTAAGCATGGCACAATAACATAAATAGAAATTTAGAAATACTGTAAATAGTTACCTTTATTGTAGTCTGGAAGTATTTTTAAATGCATGGCCAGAATTTTTGAAGTTGATCTGAGCTTTTTTCTAGCATCAGTCTCATGACAAATTTAAGACTTTTTAATGTGTCTTTCATTTTGGGTAAGTTCCCTTGTCTGGTGAACTACATGGTGGCATTTCAACCTTGTGCCAGCAGAAGGTGAGGGGGGGGATGGCCAAGGGTTACGCAGATGGATGAGGATTAGGGGGACTGCTGCTTTTGACAGTAATGACGGCTTAAACAACTGCGTTAAACCACAATGTAATACTTGATTTAATTTCCTGCTTATATTTGAATGTTTACATAGTATAAACATTATCATGTCTTTTAAGCATCACTGTATCCCTTAACATTCTCAATACTCCTCAATTTGATCTAATTAGTAGTAAAAAAAAAAAAAAAATACTTTGCGTGTAAGCGTTAGGTACCTAATTCTTAATTCATAGTAGGAACCTGCCAGTACAATCAAGTGTTCTTGGTTATAGCTTTTGTAGAGCCTGTTTTTTGTCACCAGGATGATGAACAGTGCTGTAACTCTTACCTGAATGTGTAGCTAGGAGCTGCTACTTGAAATTAATTTTCATTATAAAGAGATCTTTTACATGAGTCTTGTGACTATTTGGTAAATCAGCACTCTTGTGATTGGTGACAATGGGAGAAATTTTTTAGATTTTCGAAAAATTATTTTGCTGTTATTAGTATTTCTATAAACTAGCATAAAGAGTGTTGGGAAACAGAAATGACCCTTCTGGGGAGTGTGTGTTCACTCTAACCTTTAGAATGAAACATCCTACCACCAGGTGGAGATCTTACTATTAAAATGTTAAAAAGCCCCACCAAACAAAACTTCCTACACTTCCCTGCGAGTTCCATAATAACTTTTGAAAGTTTCTGCTTTATTGAACAGAACAGCTTCTGTTCTCCTACCTCTTCCCCATCTTCCCACACTGAAGTCCAGAAGTGCATTTTGATTACTGCAAGGTAGGGTGGACCTTTCATTGCCATGCTGAAAAACAGCAGCCTCAAGCTTGTGGAGGGGGGTATGCATTGTGCCACTGTATGCAGCAAATGCAAATTTTTATGGCAATACTAATTTTTCTCCTCTGTCACACAATGTCTGAGAGCTCTTGTTCCTGTTAGTTTGGAACTGCATTCAAAATACACCATCTCGGCTGTTGTGGTTACTGCCATAATCTAAGTCTGGGTGAGGGAAGGCACGCCGATGGATTTGGTAAAGGTGTCTGACCACTGGAAAATGAGCTAACTGGCTCCGTGCAATGTTACGTGAAATGTGCTCATGTTTTCCAGAGGTGGTTAGGTAATAAGCCAGAGAAGAAGCAAACAATATTCTAGCTAGCTCTGTAGATGTGTTCAACTTGTGATTAAAAGTTTGGTAGGTTTTTTATTACTGCTATTACAGTAATATGTAAAGATTATTTTTAGGTACATTCAATCCTTTCTAGAGTTGGCAATAGATCTGGATTATCATTATCTGATACTGATCTGTTACACAGTTGACAAGAGATACAATTTGTATCATCGTGGCAGGTGAAAACTGTTTAGTAACTTACTGCTGTCAACTAGAAAAACACTTCACTGGAAATGTATCTGCTCAAATACATTCATTCCTGTGAAAACCGGAATAAGAATCTGTTTAGGAAGCCAGTGGTTTGACTTGCACAGCACTGGTATTGTATGATGAACACTCTCGAGGCAAGGTATGCATTCCTGTCAGCTGGTCCCGTTTCTATAGAAGTTTGATTTTTGGGTCTGTTCACAGCAAAAGCAGCAAACCTGTAAACTGCATTCTTTGTTTATAGTGGACAAGTTCATTAATAAACCCCAGTGTAATCAACTGTAGCCCTGTGGTACAAATTATTTTACACAGCATAGTCAGTTGTAGCTCTATGCTAAAAATTGTCTTATGCCTCTGACTTCTTTATCCCTGCTGCATAAACCTACGTCGTATTTGCCCAAGCAGACAGCAAAATATAGAAGGAGAAATGAATATGTAAATAATGTAAATACCTTTTCTGTTCAATAGATGCTAATTATTCATTTGTCTGCTTCTGTAAAAGAAGCAATTTTAAATGCTGGTCTTAAATTTTCATGGAGAAATATAACTGTCGTATCAGTGTATCATTTTGATACCAATATGAGGGTTTCTGGGGTGAAAAGGGTGTCTTATGGGGAAACTCCAAATCTGTGAAACCGTGCCTTTTACATTCATTCTGCACTGTAAGCAGTATAGGTACTTCTAGTAGGAAAAAAAAAAGACTGCTGCTTTTGCAGAAATGGCTACATGGTAATTAACTATGAAGTATTTTTCTCCAGGCAAAGAAAGTAAGTAGTTGATGGGGAATAAAAGCTTTTAAAGCTCTTGTCCCAAATAGGACAACCAGTACTAACTGGTGATTTTTATAAAGGGAGTGGAGGCTATGTATGATGGATGTGAATGCTTATTTAGCCTTTCCTGGTATATGGTGGTTAACTTCAAGGAAACACTGGGACACTTAATTATTTATAATATTCAACTAGATCCCACATAGGATTAAGGCAAAAGTTAGCTATTTTATCTCAAGTTTTGCTTAGTGTGCATTTACTGTTCTGAGTCCTTTGCTGCTCTCCTCTGGTTTCCTTTTATGGGTTTGCGTAAATACAGGACTTGTTCCCTGTGAGATTAACCCCGAAGAAAGAAGTTACATTTGGTGGCATCAATAAAGGCACATTTCAGCTTAAGCTGTTTGTTTTATAGGATTTTCCTACAGTTATCAATTAACTCTTGGATGTGAATTTTTATAGCTGGTTTGACTGTTGCATTTTATGAACAGAAAAGGTTATTGGCAAGCAAGTCTGACCTCCATAAAGTCATGTAGTGAAACTGCAATGTTGGTTTTCTCTGCAACTGTAGCATTTTGTTTCTGAAGGTGGTGTGTTTTGTTGTTTGTATAGGGATGTTGTAGATAGCATGTCAACATTGATTCTGTATTTTACCAAGTTTTATTGGGAAAGTATTTTGTACACTTATGATAAAGTTCAAGAAAAATCACAGTAAGTTCTATACTCTTTCAACATCAAAGGGAGGAAAAAATGTTTTGTAGCATTGCCGCAATGAGGTGTAAGAGTCTGTCAGTAAAAGATTTAAGAACTGAAAGCAATCACAAGTACTAACAAACTTGGCAGCTGTTGAGAGATATAACTCTTGATTTTCAAAAAAGCTTTTTTTATGTGGAAATGCATGTGAAAATTAAATCGAAATGTGGGATAACAGCAATGAATTAGTATGCAGTGTGGTGTCAGCATCAGTTACGTTACATACTATATACCCATACTCTAGGCTTGCTTGTTTTATGAGCCTGCTAGGTATTTATATAGCTAGGGGCCTCTGTTGTACATTTTGCATTGTCTAATAGTTTTTAAAAATACTTTTGAATACCCCAAATCAGTATTTGGCAGTAAATAGGCAATACTTAATTCTGCTTGCAAGGAAAATGCTAGTTTAATTAACCAGCTGTGTGTTACATGGAGCTTGGTCTCATGAACAGTAACAGATGAAGAGCTTAATTATTAACAGTTATTTTTTTTAAACTTACCTTCATTTGAAAGGGAGAGCTTTTTTAGCTCTCTCTTAGTGCGTAAGTGTGTCTCTCAGTAGCTTTTTGTATCTCCGATGGTATCCATTGCATCAAAGGCCAGCTGCATATATTGGCCCTGATTCCCTTTAGGTACTAAGTTGTCACATTGCCCTGTGTGACTTCCTAATGTAAAACTGATGCAAAGCTGTTTTTAGTAAATGAAATGTAAATGACAGTTTGAAGTCTCAGTCTGGCAGTCTATATAGACCAGTAAAGAAAAAAAAAAACAAAACAAAACTGACCTGATGTATCTTTAATCCTACTTATGCTGTGACTTCCTTCCAGTTGAACAAAAGGCTATGGTATTTCTAAATCTTCAGTTACATCCTTCTTCATCAGTTTCTTCTACCCATTGAATGTGCTTTCCCCCCTTACTCCTAAGTGGTTTATACTGCTGCTTCCTCTGTTTTATTCTCCTCACTACAATAGGAAGTGAGGAGTTGCATAGCTTCCTGATGTTGATACCTTTTCAGTATCATCATTTTGTCAAATACCACTGCTCAACCTCACTTCAATTTTGTCTTGTTTGTTGTTTTACGTAATGTGATAGACTAGTCTTGCAGGGAAAAGGCTGTATAGAAGAAGTAAAACTTCTTCACTTTGTATTGTACTCATCGTTAATACTGAATTGTAGGGGACTCTGTGTGGGTTTAACTCTATACTCTTAGGATGGCAATCTCTGTCATCAAGCAGGATGTGAAAGGAAGGAACAAAGCTGTATTATGTCTGCAGCTTCTTAAAAGGTTTTTTTGGGTGGCTTAAGTTGCTGCTTTTATCACTTGCAGCTCAAAATACTGATTTGAATACTGTTCCTTCTGTATAACTTATTACATGGAAAAGGAATGTAAATGGCAAGGCTGCATGAGAAGAAAGCATAATTTTTCTGAGAAGGAAATTGAGTGACATTATTAAAAAAAAAAAAGACCTCCCCCATGCTTTCATGAGTTAACTTTTATTTTTGCTTAACTGGGAACTCTTTAAGGATAGCATAACAAAGGTGCCATTGTACTGCCAGGACCTTTGCTAGCTGTAGCTACTGCTGCAGTCAATTTTGTCTTTCACATCTATTCAGATGAAAATGAGTATTGCTGCTGTTGTAGAATATTTGCTGTAATGATCCAGTTTTAAAATTATTAATAGAAATTTGGACTTGGTGTGGCAACAACAGCCTCAACTAGTGGAAGAAAAAGAAATACTTGTCAGGAGGAGCCTTCTGTCTGCAAGTCTTTAGTTCAGAACAGAGGTGGGAATAAGAATTAATATTGCCCACCTTCCTGTTCTTATGTTTTAGGAAAAACAAGGAAGAATATGAAGTATGCTTTTTTCCATGGGTTTAATGCAAAAGGATAAGTGGGTGACTGGATCTTTTCTGGCATTTTTGTCTCAAGAAAATGCATGGGAGACCATGGCTAGTGACTTCACCAGTCAGATTTGCTGTTCTTGTGCATCAAGCAGAGAAACTGGAGTAGTAATGTATTTGCTAAACTGGACCATACTTTCTCTCTGGCTGCTTCAATATGCCTTCTTCAGGTTAAATAAGCTGTCTTTAAACAAAAACTGGAATTTGAAATAATGCAGATGAGCTGGGCCAAGTCACTATGCTGATCTGTGTGCACATACCTTGCAGCTTGATTTGAACAATTTTCCTAGTTGCTACTTAGTTCCGTATCGTCCTATTTGTTTCTTTCATGAAACAAAACCAAGAACAGTACTTAAGAGTAACACTTCCTTCGTGGGCCAACTTTCTGGGGTATCACCCAAAGAAGCAAAAGTAGTAACAATTCTGAAGAAAGCTTACCTAAAGCAAATGTGTAGGCATTAAAACACTGCCTGAGAGTGTCCTGACCCAGCTAGACCTGCTTTATTTCTGTGCCCCCAGCTAGCAGGTTTTCTTTTAACCTGGAACTCTCTGCTTACATGCGTGTTCAGTCTTCTATCCAGATAGCTAGTTGCCTTTGGGAAGAGGGTTTAAAAAAAAGCATTACAGCTTTTAGACCACCACAGAGTTTGTGATATCCATGTCTTCAGAATCTTGTACAGTTTTCTCTGGAAGAGCAGCAGGTATTCACTGCCAAACATATGACCGACCCCTGACCTTACTGTCAGATTAATGAGTACAGATCTGCAGGTTCATGATTTTCTTACACATCTCGGCTTGCTGTGAAACTAGTTTTATGTCTGAACAAGGCTGTTATTGCTTTATATAGGTAGCTGATTCTTATATCCCCATGAAATTGACAGTTACAAAGAGTATTGTTAAATAACGTGACTGCAGCTAGACTGGTCCAAAGACAGAATAAAGAAGCTAACAGATTTGGTTTTGTGTACTAAGCTTTTTCTCCCATAGAGTGCACAACATCAAATAAACTCTTGTCTGATGGTAAACACCCATAATACCTTGAACTATCTGAATTATAAATTATTAGTCTTCTTGCTAAGTATTCCTTTTTATTTTCAGTTCCTGCAGAGTCTGGAAAAGAAAGCACAGGGTGGCATTGCCATCTACACACATTTCTAAAAAATTAATCTATTCAAAGGGGCTATGTATCAATTTCTAATTCTAGCAGCATTTGTTAATGAAATTTTGTGTAGTTCTGTAAAATAAGTCTCTCTACATAAGTGTGTGTCTCTTCTGAGAGTGAAGAATTGCTGAATGAATTTGGCATAAAACCAAGGGGAAATAGATAATGCCACCCAGGAATAAAGTCTAGTCTTTACAGTCCAAATGCAGTTTAGTCACCATAGTAGGCTGCGTATTACTTTTTTTTTAAAAAAAAAAAAAAGCCTTAGTCTCAGTGCTACAATGAGAGGTCAGGGTTTATATACACTCTGCTAAATCCACCTGTCAAGCTGAAAATTCTGCAGCTTTAAAATAGTGCTAATTGTTATGCAAGACAAGTTCCTGCTTCCTAAAACATGTCCAGTGATCTCATTCATTACGTACGCAGAGTTTTCTTCACAAAAATAAGTCTTACAATTAGGGTTAAATTCAGCTTGGTGTAAATGCAGAGTAAATTGGGTAAGTTGAATTCAAACCAGCAGAATGTGCGCTTGAGTGCAGATTGTGGTGCCCAATTTGTTGCTTCTGAGTGGAAAAAGTACAATTTATCTTTTTTTCTAAGTGCTACATACTAGAATACTTTTTGAGTAGGAAGATTATTGCAATTTGTGTCATTTCTTTCTTTTGCACATGCTAAATCTATTACTGAGTAATTTTCCTATTGGAACTTCCCTGCCAAATAGGAAACAGAGAAGATAATTTTTTAATCACGTTATAGCATTTAAATAATATGCCAATTTGTAGAACTCATTACACACATTTTAATAATCCAAAATATTGGTATGAAGGGCCTTCAAATTAAATCAACTGGGGGAATGCCATTGCTGTGCTTTAGGAAAGAAAAAACAGGACTGGTTACTGTGCAGCTACCTAAAGAAATAATACTGTAGGAACAGGAAACTATATAAAAACAAAGCACTTTTTAAACCTCTTTTGCATTGTTAATTATTGTAGTTTAACATCTTAAACAATAAAAAAGTTTGCATCATTTGATGATGCAAGTATTAAAATGAGTTTGTAGAATTCCATACAGCATCTGCTAAATAAACAAGTTTGGCAGCTTAGCAAATATCATATGATTGCAGCATCCATGACTCGAATTCAAACAGTGATTTATTTCTCTGCAAAGAGTTTGTAAATCAGAATAGCACACTCCTGGGTTCTGGACGGTGTCTGACCCCAGTGAGTTTGAGGAAGGTATTTTTAGTGCATGGCCCCTGTGCAGAACTACCCAAATCAAACGACTGTCTCCTTTGAGTTCCTTTTGAGGGACTGCAGGCCCAGCAGGGACTGCTGGTTGGAGAGGACGTTGGCAGACTTTGGGATTAGGAGTATCACCCGCTGATTGGTCCGACGCCATTCGTTGTATAATCTACAGTGATACCTAAAGGATACCTGGGGAGAGAAGAGAGATGCGCCATGTTTAGAGTCACTGCGGTCCTCCAAGGAATCAATTGGGGTTTGGGGGGAAACGCCTTCAAGTGGAACAAAAAGCTGAGAAACAGCCTAACTGGGCAGGATAAAAATGAGCGAAAAGCGGTGGACAAAGATGAGGCCTACCACGTAGATGCCTTGTTCCCCAAGCTGCCACAGCAGAGAAGAAAAGCAGCCTGTGCCCTACTTTCTGCTGCTGCCTACCTCTCATTCCTTCTTTTATAACATGAAAAAGCAGACATCCTGCCTCTGTCTTTCCCAAGAACTGGAATTATTGGCAGCCACTTATAATGAAAACGAGTTTGGGGTCCTATCATGCTACAAGTTGTTAAACTGACAAGTAATGTAGTTGGCTGGGTGGTGAAGGCTTGCAGGTAGCGAAGCTGTGTGCAAACGCTGACAGGGTTGGGTGTTCTACCTTGTAATGCTTTATTGCTGAATGCATCAAACTCAAGACCACAGATGCAACAAGGTGAGTGTGAGCCATCTGCCAACATGTGTATCTCAATTTAGATTGTCTTTGATTTTTTTTTTTTTAATTGTTATCAGCTAACCAATTTCAACCTTAGTGTGGTTCTGCTAATAGTGGAAGAGAAATGACTGCTATGGATATACAAGATAGCTTAGCCCTGTGGTTTTTTAGAATAGTTTACTGCTTATTTTAGTGACAGCCAAGTGTAGTGAGAGTTATGTCTGTGTAAGAAGATGTACGTGTGCAGGTTTTTTTTAAAACAAACAAACAAACTGTAAACTGGCTTGGGACCTTTTGGGTGAAATGTGCCACATGACAATTATTGTGTTCTTGAGCTGTGGGCAGGAGGGACCCACGCAGTGAGCACAGGAGGAACCTTGTCTTGTTAGCTGTTCTGTCTTCATGTGCAGCCAGTCATTTGTCACGGATTTTTATGCACCTGTGCCACTTCCGTAGGTCAATGCTATGCAGAGGGTGCCAAAAAGGCTGGAGCTAACACGCTTGGCTTGCGCAGGTGGGCGGAAGATGCTGCTGACTCTGCAGAGAAGTGGCTGTGCATTCTGCTGTCAAAAGGGGCCGTGCTGCTTGCTTTCCTACCCCCACAGCAATGACAGGCTGGCTGCCAGTGAGGTATGGAGGGATATTAAGTAATATACATGCCTATGAACGTATCCTTCAAAACCCTTTCCTTATTGCAAAAAGGGTGCTTTTAACTAAATAGATTATTTACCTTTCTGTAAAATCCTACTAGGGACAAAAAGACTGGGTTTGGGTTTTTTTTATTAGATCTTTATACAGCTGTCTGCTGTTAATGAGGGAAACCTATAGAGTTTTTGTTCACTAAGCAGTTGCCCAAAGACAGCTCTTCCAACAGATGAATTGATTCCCCACCTTTCAATCTCCTCTGCTCCCCCTGAAGGTAAAGCAGTCTGCATCTTCATTTCTGTGGAACATCGTATATAAAAGAACATGAGAAATCTCTTTGTAAAAGGCACTGCAGTATCAGCAGAAATCACGTGGTAGAGGGAGGAGGGGGAAAAAAAACCCAACCACCTGCAAAGATGAGTGCCATGCAAAATGCAGTGACTGCTTCAGAGGAGTGAGCTAGAGTTTAGGTTGAGTTTTCAAGTAGCATCACATGAGATTCTTTAAGGAAAGGCTGCACTGTTAAGCCAGGCTCTAACTGCTTGTTTGCTTAAGGTATTTTCACAGGATATCCTAGTTAAGTTTGACAGCTTGTTTACAAGGGGTTCTTGCCTGGAGGCAGTTTCCAAGTGATGTCAGCTACTGAATTCCAGCAGAGCCACGGTTACTCACCCTAAGCTATTACGCTGGATGCAAAACTCTTGAGATGCTGAACAAAGGCCAGATTTATATTGGTCCTTGGCACACTAAACTCCTTTGTTCGCCTCTTCAATAGGATAGCAAGGGGGTTGTCTATCTTTCTCACTTACTCTGAATTAATTTGGGCTAGCCTTTGTTTTAAACCAGCAGTTATGTTATACTGGAAGCTATAGGGCCAAGTCCTGTTGTACTCCAACCTGCTACTTGATCTTACAGGAGTCAAGACTACCTGCGTGCAAGAGAGAGCAGAGTGTGGCCCTGAATTATTAGTTTAAATAGCAGTCTCTGTTTTGTGTCTGAAGCTTTCTTCTTGGGAGTAGCAGGCTTTTTTGTGTGTGTGTACATCAGTTACAGTGATTAAATGCAGAGGAAAAGCAACAGCATTTTATGAAGAACTTGGCTGTTTTAGGGGAAGGGATAAAATAGCTTCTTGGATGCTAAAAATAGCATTTCTCCTGTTCTCTGCTCACTGGGATAACTGTGGTGTGTAAATCTATATGCCAGCTTTTGCCTCCAGAGAAAATAAGCTGATTTATTGGAAGTAAAATGAAGTTTTAGTTTTCTTAATTTTCCCAGGGCCTAAGGGAGCATTATATCACGTTGTGTGTAATTTATGCCACAGCACTCAATACATTCCCTGCATGGCCATAACTACGCAAGCAGTACAGGATTCTCCCACCTCTGAAAATTGAAGGGCAGGTGCTGCTGAAGCACTTGATGCGGTTAGCACTTCTGCATGTGGGTCCATTCCTTGCTGCATGACAAGGGGAGCGTGGAGCCTCCCCAAGGCAAATGCAGGCTGGGGCTTTCCTCCATGACTGATGGGTCTCAGGCCACTGAGCAGAGAGTGGGCATGTCTTCCATGTGTAGGGTGCTCAGTGCCATTTGTAAAGTAGTTGCTTTAAATCTCTACTTTGACTTTGCAAATCTGCCCTCTGAGAAAGTGTGTGAAAACACTGTCACTCAAGCCTGTTGACTTAATCCGCAGATATACTTAAACCTCCTCAAAACTCTTCCATCCAGTACTAATGCTGTGAGGGCAATGAGGGCACCTTCTGTACTGTGAAGAGAGCCTGAGAGTCCTTCCCACCATGTCTCTCTGCTCTGCCCACTGAATTAACCCCCTGCTGAACAGGAAGGCTACTGTGCCCTGAAAGGTTCCCTGCCTTGCCCTTCACCGATGAACACAGTGCTTCATTAGCCCATCCATCTCCTGCTGGTCTGAATAATAGATTAGAGTGGAATTACATCTCCCACAACTCAGTGGACATTTAAGATACTGTATTTCAATTAAATCAACCAAGGTATGCATTTACATCAGGCTTGCTATCACCATATTCTCCAAGTGCCAATAACACATTTCTCTGTATGCTTTTGAAGGGGTAAAAGTTATAAAGTCAATAGAAGGGATTTTTGCCACTTACAATGCAGATGCAATAGACAGTGATAGGGACTACAATTGACATGTTGCAGAAGTCTTAATGAGCAAGGTCAGATATGTCCATGTGTCATGGGTAACTAAATCCAACTACGTAGCCAGACTACCCTTTCCAACTTCCAGCCATTTTGGTGCTTGTGAATTATGTATATTAGGTAAATAGGACAGCATTTGGGTTTCTAAGATAGTCATTCACAAAGGAAATTTGAACAACCTTTGCTGGAATACCTGACAGACATGTCTACACACAGTACTGCAGGAAATACAAGTGCCACCTCACTGCTGGAGTAAATGGCCATCCTGTCAAAGGGCAGTGCTGCTGCTTCACAGAAGATGGAAGCAGAAACGGCAAAAAGAGAAACTGCAGGAGGCTGAGGCAAAACTCTGAGCTTTCCCTACTGTTGTGCGCTGCTAAAATTAGCCTGCAATCCTCTATGGATGAGACAGGGTTTCACCGTTATGAATGAAGTAAATGAGATGTTACCTTTCATAGCTTTCTTGGAGCTAGTTGTTAGGTAGTGTGGGGTTTTTGTGTTTCACCCCATATCACCCCTTTTCCAAGCTTAGTCTGGGTTCAGCATAGGGGTTTCCTGCTGTGGGCTAGCTCTACTAATGCAGTTCTTAAAGTGCCACCTCCTCAGCAGCTTACACTGATCAAAAACTGCTGGAAGGGGTCAGCCATACAGCGTGTGGCCATACTCACTGAGGGGGAGAGCTGGGTGCTGGCCCTGCAGGATTAGTGGCTGTGCCAGCACCACAGGCAGGGTGGTCTTGCCCCCACTCAGGGTAGCACAGGCTCAGATGAGCTTTTCCTCTCACAGCAGCACAGCCTTACACCATCGCACAAGCATTACCCTGTTAGTGTGAATGCTCCCTGTCTGCATCTGCTCTTCTGTTCTCCTTCCCCCACCAGAGCTAGAGGTGTGAAATGTCCAACTCAACAGTAACCTGGGGTTTTCAGTGAACTGCTAGACCACGGCTTGATAAACACTTATTTTGGCAGCTGTCCTCTGGGTTCCCTTCATTTCTGCTGGGCCAACTGTTTGTTGGTGCGCTGGGGCCAGGAACGGATCTCAGTTTAACAACTTGGTACAAGACAAGTGGCTTTTAGGACAGATCAGCATGCAAGTGACAGCCCACCTGGGTGCAGGATAGGAATAAGGCAGCAATTTAATTTGCACTGCAAAGGCAGCTACATTTCTACATCTACAGACCTGGGTGTAAGGTGTATTCTGCTGTGGACTTCCCACAGCACCACGAGCACGAGGAATGGGGTAAGCATGGGATGCACCCACATCCGAGGGTTTTGAATTGTAAAATTGGCCAGATGTTGGATTAGAGTAAAATCTGAATCCTCTATGGCAGCCAGGTTGTTCACCTAAAGGTTTGTTGTGCACTGTGCCTTCACCTTTTGCACGTTACCTTTGATGAAACTGCCTCTTGTAGCATCTGTCTTGAACTCCTCCATGTTACTTCCTTGTCTCCCTCTTGCTGTCCCCTCTGGTGCTTGGGATTTGGGAATTACTGACACCAAAAGCAAACTGTCTTTCTGGTTTTCCAGAGAACTTGAATAGTGTAGAACCAAGAGGTTTTTTGCATATCTACCTTAAATTTATCAGTACAGAAGGTAAACATAAGCAATGCTTTGTACAATGGTCCACCCGCTCTACAGCACTCTGTGTAATTAATTTTCTGATTTGTTCATTCCCTTATTCCTGTGAGTTGAACAGAAAACCAATACTTACTAGGGTCCAAAAGAGGTAAATAGTGAAGAGTGCGACAGTGAGTGCAATGAGGCCAACAGCTTCTAGCCTACTACTAAAGTGCAGATGGTCCACTGCTCCTCGTAGACACAACCAGCCAGAGATGGTCGCCAGTGGAGTAATAAACAAGAAGCACACCATGTCTCCAAAGAGAGTCCGTTTCTCGTGCTGGGGGCCTGGGTTCCTCAGCCACTGAAGGCAAAATGCAGACAAAGCAAGTGTCAGCACAGGGAGGACGTTTTACCCGCACGCTTGCAAAATGCAGACCTGCCCCTTCGAGGAGGGAACATGGACCACATGCAGGACATGGCTTTGGCTGTCCCTAGAGAGCTCCCACCTGAACTTCTCCCCCTCGCTGTCTGCTGATGCGCAGCTCTAGCCATGCAGACCTACTGCATCGTTTATTCAGCTGTAGTGAAAGCTGCCTTGAGAAGGGGAAGTGTTTTGTATAGCGCAGCCCCTGGCATTTGGTTGCTGAACTGTTTGAGAAACTCCCTTCTTAATGTGGAAAGAATCACACACTCTCCTGACAAATCAAGAGTGCAGAAAATATTTGCTCATATTTTGTATGCTCTTTCAAGAATTTTTTTTTTCCATTCTGCTTGTAATATTGGCAAAGCCATTTTGAACTTGCTTTCAGATATCTGCATGCAAGCAGAGTTGAATGCACACAAGGTTACTTTTATTAAGAGGTTATTAATCTTGCAAAACAGAGTGCCTGAAAGTCAACCGCTGAAGCGAAGGTTGATTGAACAGCTATATCAAGCCCACACGCCCATGTTTCTATAGACAGGATTTTAGATAGCAGACGTGAAAGAAGTTCAGCCTACAACAGTACACTGAGACCTTTTATTAAAAAAAAAGCATCACTCAAGTCAGTATTTGAATAGGAAGAATACAAAGCCCTGCAATTTTTGCCAACGTAAGCCATAGGATTTGGTCAAAATCCTATGCTCTGCAGCATTCTTTTTTTTTTTTTTTTTTTTTTTGAAGCATATAACCATATGCATGGTACAACCAAGGATAGCAAATATTTCTTACTGTGGCACCTGGGAACCCCAACCAGCCTGGGAGCTGTACATATTACCCTAGCCACCAAGAGTAAACACACCATGTACTGCACAGGACTGTGTCTGCCCTGGAGAGTCCACGATCTAAGCAGAGGAGTCAAAGCTGGGAACGGGCAGTAGAAGTGGAGTGAGCTGTCATAACCCCAGCTGCCTGTGCAGCTGCAGCTGGGTGCAGGGAAGGCTATCCATTCCCCATCTGGCACGTCCCTCCGAGGCCCCTGGCTCCAAGTGCAGAGGCCGTACTGAAGGCAAGGGAAGTCCTGCTCCTCCAGGCAGCTATTGCATTATCTGTCATCAGCACAACAAGAAACCAAAGCCACTGCAGCTCTGTGCCAGCAGACGTGGAAAAGGCTCATGCATCCTTAAACCGTCTGGCCCTCTCATTCCTCCCAGCGTATTATACATGGCAGTAGAAGTCCTGTCTCTATTAGCTCCAGAAACTAAGGTTGGGGAGGCAATTTCATCCCTTCACCAGTTAATGCCTTTTATTCCCAGGCACCTCAGCTTTTTTTCTTCTTCCCTATTACAGTGCTACAGCAATGACCCAGAGGAACAGCAGGACTTGAGTTTTGACAAGAGAGGGCAAGGCTAAGAGCGTTGTGCAAATTAATGAATATTTCTCATCTAGGTATCCTACCCCTCTGTTATTTTCAGACCCTGCTTCGTCTTTTCCCACCACAAAAACAAATACAGCATTTACCTCTCCATCTTCATATGGGGTAAAACAACAGTCAAGAAATTGAGTGCAACCAGGAACAGACAGCTGCTAATCTGGCACTAGCAGAAAGGCACAAATCAGTAGACAAGTTTGCCTCAGCCTCACCATCTCTCAGATGGAAATAATAAATTATCTACTTCACAGGATTTTTGTGAGGTTTAACTCAGCAGCCTAAGATCCATTTTTATGTACGAATCAGAAATTTAGGAGAACACAAAAATATGTTCATAAACTTTTTTTTTTTCAGGATGTAGGCTTTTAACTTGCTTGAATCCTTTTAAAATCCTAAGGAGGTGGGAAGTGTTTCATAACTGCTATGTACTACTATAAGCAAGATGTTGTAAGGGAAGACGCTAGTTAAAGAGGGAGGCTCAATATTGTTTTTTCCCTTTTCAAGCAGTGTCTTAAGCTCAAGATTATTTAAAATACCAGAATACCAGGTGTGATGAGTTCACCCCAATCAGCAGCTAAGCACCTATACAGCCGCTTGCCCGCCCCCCACCCCATCAGTATGGGGGACAGAACAGGAAGAGGCTGCAAGCAGAGCTTGCTTCAGTAGAGCTTGTACAAAATAAGGAGACATAAGCTTACATTTGAACAGCTTTTTATTTTATAGTAACTTTATAGAGAACGCTAAAAAGTCATGTGTGAAAGGCTCACAGCACTCTCCCTGGAGCTTTCATTCCATTTACTTAAAAACACTCCCAGGGGTGCATGCATAACAGTTCCAGGTTATATCTGGTTGCTTCTAGACAGGACTGACTGCAACCTTCACCTTGTTCAATTTCCACGAATCCCTATAATGTGAAACCGCCAGGAAAATGAGAGGAACTGAAAGTGCCTGGTAGTGGAGATTCTGCTTTTAAAGGTGACTGCTTGTAAAGAAACCTGACTAGGTTTCAGTTTTTTGTGAAAAGTATTTGTTTAAAAGGTGACCCACAAGAGAATTGCTGAGCACCTGCACGTCTCCTTGATCTCAATGGGAATTGGAGGTGTTCACCACTTTCCCAGGACAGACCTTAAAAAGCCAGTATCTCCTTTTCTCCGTGCTATGTGGTGACTGTCCCCCCTGTAACTGGGCAGTGAAGAACGCATTGCAACATTTCAGAGCCCATTTAGTGGAGGCTGCATCCTCAAATCTGTGCAATCTGTTGTGATCCCTTCGGCATTCATGCAGCTCAGCTAGGGCAAGAAATACTGTCTATTGATCTGAGCAAGAAGGAAGAACAGCAAGAACACATACATGCGAGGAAGCACACAGATTAAGGCATGTGTTGTCATCTCTGCCCTACAACTTTCACGAGACACAGTACAATGCACTTGAATTAAGACAGCATTTTACGGTGTGCCATCTAACTTGATGGAAAGTTTGAGCAGACAAAAATGGTGTGAGACTGCTTCACAGGCTGATGGCTCCCCACACTCCTTATGTCTTGTCTGACCCATATGAACAAAGAATCAAACCCAAGCAATTCAGATATTAGATGAGGCTAGGACATACAAGAGTAGCATTAAATACTACATAAAACTAAATACTAAATTAACACCCCACCATTCTACATTCTAACCTTAAAAGCTGGAGAAATTCCCAGCACTAGTTCTGAAGTGGAAGTCAAAAGCAACAAATAACTAATTTCAATGGCTGTATGGATCTCAGTCACAGCACGTATTTTTCTCCTGAAGTAGTGCACACGTGTTTCTAAATCTGATTCTGTTCAGATTCTAGGTTTCAGTCTTTTGTTTTGGAAATGTGCATTGTCAAGTTACTTTACAGCTAAAAAGCCAAGCCAGCTGAAACTGTGAAACTGAAATCCACACAAGGATCCCAACAAAGTGCTGAGCTGATTAGTTAGTGTGGCAGTACAGTAGGGAGTACCCTGCTGGCAAAGAATGAGATGTAAGGGCAGATGCAACTGTCAGATCTGCACTATGATACTCTGAAAGCTGTCCTATTAAAATGTGTCAATGTGCTCAATTATTTCTGCAATAAATTGAGACTCTCACAGTAATAATTTCCATTTTGGGGGAAAAAAAAAAAGAGGTCATAAAAAGGGTCATGTTTGAAGCAAAATGCTGGCCTGCCTGGCAAAGCACTATTTTATCAAGTGCTATCTTAAAGCAAACAGTGATTCCTGTTCCTGATACACAGGTAGAGAGACAGAGTAACAAGACACAAACTGACTTTAGCAATGGCAGCAAGCACAAATTCAAGAACAGGTAAGCACAGTGCCTGATGCACAACCCAATATTGGCTCATGACTGACACAAGCAAGAAATCCTGTGCCTGGAGACTAATATACACCTGATGAGAATCCAGCCCCTCGAAGAAACTTGGGGTCCCACCTCGTCCCTCACAGTGACAAATACCAAATGGGGTCTGCTCAGAAGCAAAACATCCCCAAACCCTGAGCTAAAGGCTGTGCCTGCATGATATCTCTCTGCTCCCCCAGCTGTCCATGCCATCTCTTCGGCAGCGGGTGCTGCTGCCGCGGTCGCGTGGACTGCACGCACTGCTCCAGCACGGGGGCTCTTCGCTCAGCCAAGCTCAGCTAAACAGGGCAGGTGTTGCTGAAATGACCCAGACTGTCTGTCTGCCGGGGAACGGGCACTCCCCAAAGGGCAGCCACAGCAATCGGTCTGGGCAGGGCAACATCTTCGGCCACGGGTCTCTTTGCCCAGCAAATGTGTGCCCAAGCCTGCAGGCAGTGGCAAAAGCTCCGCTGAGACACACTGGTGATCTCCTCCTGTGCTCAGACAGGATCACTTCAACTGGAAAACAGAAAGGGCATCAAGAAAATGGAAAGCCCACGCCACAAAAGGAGACTTTAAAAGTTTGACTCACTTATCCCAGCAAAGTCACATTCTAAATGCATCTTGGGGATGGCCAAAAGAAGGGAGAACTGAAGGGGGACATGGGTGAAGGAGAAGTGCTACTTAAGCTAATGGACAGTGTTGGCTTAAGAACAAATGGGTAATAGTTGGCCATAAATAAATTTAGGGTAAGAATCAGAAAAAAATTCCCAGCCTTCAGAGGATCCAGCTCTGGAACAGCCTCCTGAGAAGAGCGGTGTAGGCTAAAACTCTCAAAGCTGACATAGTTTTATGAAGGAGCTTGCTTACATTCTGAAAGGGATTTTTGATATACTGCATTTGACGTGAGAAAACACTGTTAACACACCCAAGGCTCCTTCACCTCACACTGACATGTGTAATACACATATAAGGATTTGTTGCAGTTACTTCACAAAGCAGAGTTGAATTTAAATTATTACCTGCCCTAGAAAGATTAAACTGAACTCTTGACCTTCATCAGAGGGTCTCCACGCTTCCTTCAACTGAATGCAAACTCTAGTGCTCAGCAACTTAATGTGGATTTGCAACAGTCCCTGGGAGACTTTTGGTCTATGAGCCCACTACTGGCTTCCAAAATTTTACCTGATACTTAAAACTGCACACGAAACCAGACCTATGAAACTGTCCAAAATCCCCTTTCAGTGCAAATGTACAGAGATGTTTATTTGACATTGTCAAATGATCTGAAACTTCAGACTCCTGAGATGAGCGAATGGGCTCAGTTTCCTTCTAACTGGTTTACTTCATCTTGCCTAAGCAAACGCAACTGGAGGCTGAAGAACTGCCCCCCTGAAAGGGGACACAGGCTGAGGCATCCGCGCGACGTGCCAGCAAGGTGAAGCCTTACATTTGGAGAAGGAAATAATCAGAACAAGCAGCAACCGAGGACCAGAATACCCTGGAGAGGCTCAGACTGTGAATTTATCTAACGTAAACAAAATGAGCTGCCCACAGAAAACTGCTGTAAAACACCTCCACAAGTTTGAGCTGCTTCACCATTGTGAAAGGCCAAATCCTGGAAGCACTCACCTCCATAGGTCTAACTTCAATTAGATGAGTCACAAAGGCAAAGTAAAGTATGCGCATAGTGTTTTCCAGATCAGAACCTAAGGCTACAACCTGTTTCTACTGGGAAGCCCTTTTTAGTTCACTACATTTTCCTTGGAAAATTGATTTTACGTAAATGTTGCTGGAGTTATACCAGCAGCAAGGAAGATTCCACAGAGATGAAAAAAAATCCATCACACTGCTTTTTAGTTAAAGGTATTTAAATAGTTATCCATATGAAGCTGGGGGGAGAAGAACAGGAAGGAATTGTCTTCCCTAAATGTGCTTCCCTTTGAAATAAAAATAACTTATTACACATCAAACATATCAGTTCATTTTGTTCTTTTGACGCCCATAGCTCTGCAGTGCATCTTGATGAAAGCCGTCTGTACACAAGCCAAACTGCTAGCAATTATTGTCATTTCTGGTTTCATGCCAGCAGTGACCAATGGGAGCATTTTGCCTTGGGCTTTAAGCAACGAAAGACTGATATTGCCTATTTTTTTAGAGTGTTTCTCTTGAATGAAGGACATTTTTAAAGACCAGGAAGACCATTTATTGGCCAAAAAAAAAAATCACATCTGAATTTTACTCAAATACTTTCTTACTTGAAAAATTTGTTTTAACCTTTTTCAGTGAAATGTTTTGAAACTAAGCTTAACTACATGTAACTCAAAATAGTCTCCCAGACCAGAATGGTATGTATGTTTGTTTTCAGTGCAATGAAACATTTTGGGTGACTCAAAACTTTTCTAGGTTAAAGTTTTGCCAAGGAAAACAAACATTTGACAATTACTTTTCAGTTGAAAAAATATTTATATTTCAGTTTTTGGGTTTCCTGCTTAGATCAAACATTCAGTTACTGGCACAGTATTACTGTCTTCAGTGGGTACTTTTAGAAAGGCCATGGTGACAGCTCACAGAGATGTTCCTTTGGTCCCAGAGACAGGCCTGTCTATTTGACAGCTAGAAACCAAATGATTTGACCTCTGTAACTTTATTATGCTAATGTTGCGGCCTCTTTGTAACTGAGTCTGCTCTTATTTAAGTTTAATCCTTATTTTAACTCAAGTTCCAGGGAATATTTTAATTGTGGATGTCTGAATGAGCCAAAGCTACTTTTTGAAATAGCAAATGAATTTCATTTGCATGTTTTTGTAAGTGGAAAGAATACGCTATTCATTGTAAGGGTGGTGTATGATACACCTTTAATTTTTTTTGTTTTGTAAAAAGAATAAACTACAGTGCAGATAGGAACCAACCCTAGGTAGTAGCTAAGCGTAAGGAGAGTACTGCAGGCTGTTGCTATCACACCATAACTGAATTTGCAGTCTAGACCTTGGGTAGTTTGCCAGCTGAAGAACAGGAGTTTGATATACAATGCTCCACCAAGTAGCAATAATGCAGTGGCTGCATTAGATGTGGTGTTCAGTTTCTGGATTATACAACTTTAATGTCTGAAAACAGGATTAGTAATTCTCTGATAGTGAAAACAAACTACAGAGCTTGCTAAGTTGCACTATAAAAATCTATGAAATTTCTTGCAGGTCCAATTAAACAATATTGTATTCTTCAACATTAGTCTGGCTTACTGGTATTCTGTTTTC